TGAAAATCATGTCTATATTAACATAGAAATGGGCAAAATATCGTCCTTTAAAATATGACCCATCTCTTGAATTAATTGGTTATTCCTGTCTACTTTTATGTTTTTAAACTCTAATTTTTGTTAATCCTTACATGTCAGTGCTTATTAAAAACTTTTATTAGTGACCTTTTTAGAGGTCATTTTTGGGCTAACAATTTATGTGCTAACATGTTTCATGTAACATATATAAAGGATTGTAGCCTTTAAGTTTTTATTTTCAGTCATTTTAGGGAGTTCCAGACTAGTAGTAATTTCTATCAAGAGTAAGAGGGTAGTTTGGCCTTGATTTTCTAGGGTTGTTTTCAATCGTCTAGGATGGCTAGGTGATTGATTTATCAAGTGATGTACACTGTGCTTATATGTGTTTAGGAGTCTTCCACATTCATTGGTAGAAATATTTTAATTTCCTCCACTAGTAATGACATGCCTATTAAATATGTAAATGAAGAGATCATCCAAGTTGATTATTTCTTTTATACCATTAAAGTTTGTGTGTGTGAAGTCTAACATAAAGTTAAATGCACAAATCGTAAGTAATTTAATTTCACGTAGTGAACACATCTGTAGTAAGAACTAAATAAAACATTACTTGCACCCCAGAGCCCCACATAATTTCCTCTTAAAATATAATTAAGGTATTTTCTCTGAGCTATCAACACTGAAAATACTTAAAATGATCAATTATTAATTTTTTGAAAGGAGAGTGACCATATACTTGTATCTATTAATTTATATTAGTAGCACTTAGTACAGTAACTGTCTAATAATGCTTCTTAATAAGTTTCTTGAACGTGTTGAATTTTTAGACTTACCTTGTTCAGGATTAGATTTAAAAATGTTTTCAGGAAATAGTTTTCATCTTAAGTCTTTATTGAGATACTTAATAAAATAAAGTAGCTTAAGGTTTGTATGACTTAAATACTGCTTGGAAAGCATTATTATTTCACAGACAAAGGGAAGGAAGGCCACAATCATGATGTTTTTCTGTCATGTCTGTAAATATTCCTCCAATTTCATTTCCCAGGTATTCTTCCTAGTTCTTAAAATTAGTAAAATAGATAGGCCATTCATTCCCTTGACTAAGTGTGCACTGTTAGTAAAATTTTATGTGCTCCGTCATCAATCCGATGTAATAAAGCAATGGTTTTTCAGTATTTCACACGGCACGGGTCTCTGCCAGGCATCTCTGGGGGTTCTTTGATGTCTAGACAGTTTAAATTATGCCTGCTCCCCTGCCTCCAAATTCCACCCCCGTTCTGCTTCAGGGGCTGCGGGAAACGAAAACAAACCAGAAGGCTCCATACGCCACAGTCGATGGAGAAAAACAAACAAGTAGAGTGAGCTGTATGTCCACCCTGGCAGGTGGACAGGGAAGGGCCCAAGGATGGGCAATGGCAGGAAGAAAAGAATTAGGGACAAATGTTCTCTTACTTATTGATTTCTAATTATATTCCTGTATGGAAACGCCTGTGCATTGTGGGCAGAATGAACACGTTGTAGAAGTGTTAGGGGAGAAAGTAGAGCCACCTTGACCCAGCCCCTCGGTATTCGCCTCCCTACAGCAGCCAGATCTGAGTCATTGTGTTTCTCGTACATTGTTCCATTATTGAAATGATAAGATGCAAAGTTGCATTTTAAGTTGGAAAACTAACGTTTTTTCTTCTTTTTCCCCCCCTTTGTTTTCCTTTCATAAATCGGGATGATTCTTCCAATTCACCCTTTTAGAAAGTAAGTAACTTTTGAAATTTCAGAGATTTTTTTTGGTTAAATGATTGGTTTTATTATTTCATACGCACATGTACATATACGTTACAGTATCTTTCACTTTTAAATTCTGACTGAGATTATTAACCCTTACATTTAGTGTGAATAAAAAGTTTTAATTAAAAATAGGAAACGTTGCATAGCTGTTCATGCTAAGACTTTTAACACATATAACACATCTTTTATACCCACAGCAAATCATTGTGATATATATGTATATATGTCTGTTATGTATATGTATATGTGTACTTTTTTCTTAAAGTAGGCCAAGGCATGCTTCCTAGCTCTGTTTTTTTGTGAATATAAAAATATATAAATAATACTTTTACTTATTCCTGTTCAGTTGGAGTTAAGATTCATTTCCAGGAAAAGCAATCCAGATTTCCTAGGCTTTATGAAATTGTTGAGAAGAACAGCTATAAGTAAATGGTCTGAAAGACTTTTAAAATGCACTCTTTTATGTATATTCTGCACATATATGCTAATGTTTTATTGTTTTAAATAAAACAGATCATATAAGGTTTACTTTTCTGTAAAGAATTGCAACTGACATGCATAAGCGTAAGTGACCAATCAGCCAGTGATTTGAGTTACAAAATTTGCCTTTGTAAAGTATTTTCTAATTCTTCTAAAAGGCAAATGTTGTAGGGTGTGGAAATAAAACAAACTTCATGTTTGTTTTGGGAAAGATTTGGGAAAACCTGTATTTTTGCCTGAAGGGAATAATGATAAAAAATATATGTACTAGTATTTTGAAGTATTCAGTATAACATACATAGCATCATTTATCTGGAATTTATTCATGAACAGATATTTCTGGGGAGATGAATATTTTACTTTATAAAGTATGTCTGGCCTACTTTAAATAAAAGCAAAAAAGTCATGGAGACTTTTGGAGATTGTGAATTACATATTTTTAAATATTTCTATAGTGAATCTTGAGTTAATAAACAGTATAATTAAATAATATATTTATGCTCAACAGAGCTTATTATTTATCTGAAACTGGGTGCTTATCACTTATGTTTGCAACAAGCTTAGCATTAAACTGCTATTTAATAGTCAATTTATCTTCAATTATCTTTTGTTTACTGTACCTTAGAAAAAAATTTAAATTATAGTGATGGTAAATTATATTTGTTCTGTGCTTTTTAGCTATCTCCAACGCTATGTTATTCTTTAATACTCTAAATCGGAGCTCTTGGAATTGTGTGTGCTAGGACCTTGGGAATAAAGATCAGCAAGAATGTGCATGAGGGTGGATGTTAAGAGGACAATTTTATTAAGTTATATTTTTAAAGTCTACATTGTATCATTTTTATGTATTGGATTCTATTTTACTTGTAGTGTTAACATCCTCCTGCCAAGGCTCTACAGGAAATCTGTGTTTCTGACAGTTTCACTAAATTAAAACTCCACAAATCTGGCATAATAATTCCCAGCTTCCAATGGTCCGTGCTTTTGCCTGAAGAGAATAATGATAAAAAAAATATATATTTTGAAGCATTCAGTATAACATGTATAGCAGCATCATTTATCTGGAATTTATTCATGAGCAGACATTTCTGGGGAGATGAATGTATTTTACTTTATGAAGTACGCCTGGCCTACTTTAAATACGAGCACAAAATCTTTTGTAAGGAAAATAATGAGGCTGGGAGCTTGCAGACGCTCACGAGGGAAGACATTACACAAACACGCAGCATTCTCACCATGTGGACCTCAGCGGTACAACGGCATTGTTCTGCGGCCACGTTTATGTGCGGGCTCTGCTCCCTGTCAAGCCCAGTGGCATCGTCACACAGACACGCAGCATTCTCACCATGTGGACTTCAGCGGTACGCGGCATTGTTCTGTGGCCACGTTTACGTGCGGGCTCTGCTCCCTGTCAAGCCCAGTGGCATCGTATTGACGTGTTGGCACAGAGCGCTGCTGTGTAAAGTGATAAAGATGCTCTTGTTATTATAATACTTAGAAACCGTGAGGACCAGGATGTGTGTATATGCTGACTCGCTATTAAGTATGTTGTGGCAACTCAGCAAATATGGCTCTTTCATTTTATCGGTGACTTTCCATGCTAAGGAAGAGATTTGATGATGGTGGCTTTTAGGAAACATTTAATTCGGTAATGCAAAATTATGTTTCTATCACAGAAAATAAAAAAATTTAAACCTTATTATCTTAAAGGTCCTCTTGTCCCCAAATATTTCACCTGAGAGGTGAATAGGGTGGGGTAGGGATTCTAATCAATATTGGCTCAACCAATTATTGGTCTTCTAGCATATGTGTATGGAAACATAAGTAAATGAAAGTAATAATTCTGGCTCTAAATTCTAGTTTGCAAAGATAACGGTTTGCAAACAAAACACAAAATAAAGCTCTAAAGTCTAACCCAGGAAATACATATGTGTCATACATTTCGTAAACATCTCTCTATGTAGATGAGTACATTTCAGTAATGTTTGCACATATGGGCTTCGGTATTTTTAATCACTAGTTTAATACTGTTAGAGTTATTTTTTTTTAAAAAAACTGTTGATTTCATAATTCAGTCACTTGCATCTTTCCTGCAGAACATAATTATTAGCTGGGCAGAATTCCCAAGCGCACATTTCTTGATTTGACAAATCTAACTGAGAAAAGGATGTTAGTGTTGAAGATGTGTCAGAGATAAAAACACAGATATAAATTTTTATTTAGCCTTGTGAGAAATGCAATCCCACAAGTAACTTAAATGCTTATAATTTCAAATCAGTCCTTCCCGGGTTTCTTATTATTCTTTTGTTGCTTTTCAACCTATAGGACGGAACTGTCCTTGAACTTGGGTTTATTTGATCATTCAAGTGCAACCATCAAGTTGTCTGTCATATTTAAATACCGAGGCTTCCTGGTATTATTTGCAAAATAGCACCACATAAACGTTTGGGCTTTGGTTTCTTTGAAATATAGTGTTGGTTGCTTTATGAATAAAAGCATAATTTCAATTCAGGAGGCTTGCCTGGAGCCTATAAGACAGATGCATCTGATTAACTTTGGCAAACTGGACTGGCCTGTTATTGTAATGTAGATGTTTTCAGGGTTGGGAGGATATTTTTAAAAGGCATGCAAGAGGATTTTTTTTTAAGAGGCGAGAGAACAGTTCTGCCACAGGAGCTGCGTCTCAGACTGCTTCATTTTTGTGCACTTTTGTTTTCTAGTGGGACTTCTCCATTAGCCTGTCTGAATGCAATGCTCCACACGAACACTCGAATAGGGGATGGAACCTTCTTCAAGATCCCTGGAAAGTCAGGCCTCTATGCTCTCAAAGTAAGTCGCATTGTTCTGCATCGTATGTCTGTTATTCCTGTGTATCATGCATTCCCCCTCCCCGCCCCCCCGACATGGGCAGGTAAACAAAATTAGATTTGGGTAAAGGTTTAGAAGAATGACCTCGATGCCTCTTAAATGTTTTCAGATGTCTTAAAAATGATTTCATATTAAGAATAAACAACGACATTTTTCTTTAAGGAAAACATATCTGTGGTTGCAGCCTAACATATGGTAATGGAAAATAGCTGTGGCTTTCTTAGCATTCTTGATTCCTAAAAATCCACGTGGACGGGTGCCATGGATCATCAGCCAAGAGCTCAGCTTCAGATCACAGTTGCCACAGACGATCTGGCTTAATGGCCGACGGCGGATACATAGCTTCACACCTGATGCCTTTCTGTGTTTCATAAAAAGAAGCAATCTCTCCATTCTCCTCAAAAACTTGCTGATTTAAATGTTGTTAGGTTTTTAAAGCAAACAGTGATCTCAACGCAGGCTTACTAACAGTGCATATTGGTTATGTGAGAAGAATAGAGAAAGTTGCAGATAAACGAGTCTTCATTGCTTGAGTGCAATTCCCATTTTCCACTGGAATGGGAAACGCCATCTAAGATGCAGAATTCCCGAGGACAAAGCCGATGGTCTCCCAACGCTCATGTGCCTTGGATGGAGTAAAAGCAGTGTATTATTCCTTATGAATTAAAAAGAAGTCACTGCTTTCATGAATGATGGATTACGTTGAAAGTTCATTAATTTCCTGTGAGAAGGTTTTGTTTTGAATGTTAAAAGTTATACCTGGCAAAGAAACAAAGATTCTTTCTCAGCTCCTAAGCATTAAGAATTTATCTTGTTACTGTGTGTGTCTCAGAAAATAACGACAGGTTAACCTTGTATTATTTTAGTTGCTTTTTGTAGCTACTTGGGTGTTTCATTTAGTGATTAAAATTCTGAGTTGTGAAGTCATTTCCTAACATAAAAGAGAATGTAGAATTGAAAAACATAATGAAAACAATGTATGTCAAAGGGGAATGGATTTTGTATGGATTTTAAAAGGTTATCCAAAAACTCAGCTGTGGCAATGGGCCTTGCCCAGTTTTTTGTTGTTGTTTTTATAAATACATTTTCTTTTTAAAAAAATTATTGATTTCAGAGGGGAAGGGAGAGGGAGAGAGAGAGATAGAAACATCAATAATGAGAGAGAATCATTTGATTGGCTGCCTCCTGCATGCCCCCCACTGGGGATCAAGCCCGCAACCTGGGCATGTGCCCTTGACCAGAATTGAACCTGGGACCCTTCACCGAGCCAAACCAGCCAGGGACAGTTTTGTTTTTTTAAAGGTGTACTTTTACATTAAACAGTAAGTCAGTATTAAAATTTCCAATGACAAGTAAATGTGGTGATGCTTTAGGATGCTGGAAGTGTGTTGAATGTTTTCAGTTGCTAACACATCCCCGTAAATCATTTTTTAAAACGATGTAGAAAGAGGAGTCGTCCTGCCCAGCTGAGGGGACGTTGGATTTAGGCTGCGAGTCCGAAGTGGATGGCACAGAAATGGCGGAGGCCAACGCCCGGGGGGAAGGAAACGGAGGTCAGTGAGATGGATTTCAGGATGGAATCCCTGTTCCCTTAAAAGTTATATCGAATTTCAACAATTCACTAACTTAATTCCCTACCACTATCGATAGCCTTTTCTTCTAAGTGTTTATCACCCACTTAGATTTATCATCAAACAACTGTGATTCAAAAGGTTCGTACCTAAGAAAAGTAAACAGTTTTTGGCTTTTTGCTTTTATTTTATTTTCATTTTGGATGGATTCCCCTGGATGATCTTGAGTGTTATCAGCATATTTCTCATGTCAAGTGAAAGGGTCACCTGAGGGTACCTGGTGGTTTTAGTCGTATGTGAGGCTTGAGCATGCCGGGGGTTTACATCTGATGGTGCTTGACATTACAATCTAATATAATAATAGAGGAATATGCAAATTAGCCGGGACACCATAATGTCACGACTGATCTACAAGTGGTGGAGAGCTACAGGAGGGCGGGGCAGCGAGCTACGAGCCGCCAAGAGCTACCAGCGGCAGTGGGCAGGGTGGCCAGCCGAGGCAAGCAGCAGCGAGCTGCTCGCACACAGATTCGTGCACAGGGCTACTAGTAGTTTTATAGTAGCTTCGTTTCCAGGTTTGTCCATAATAAGGTAAGCTTAGTGTTTGCATTTCTCCTAGTGAAACAAGGGCCACATAAGTCCTATTCTTGTGAACACTTTTGAAAAGTAAGCAGCCCTTCCAGTTCTAAGGGGGCATTTCCACCCCTGAGTTCTCTCCAGGTGAATTCATTTTATCTTTCTCTAGACATTTGCATATGAACCTGCTGTATATGTAGTGTCTGTGTTGCAGTTTTGGCAAAGTTTTGTTCCGCAAAAGCCGCCGTAATTATTGTCCACTTGCTGCCCACTGGTCCCACTAGTGGACCCTGGTGGTGGTTTGGGGAAGAAGGTTGTGTCATTAAAGTCCCTGTCAGTGGACTTGTAGAAATCGGTCTCTTTTCCTTAAACAGACAGACCTTAACGGATCCTTGTGGAAACAATGTATTTCACTGATAGCCAAAGCCACACGTTTTATTATTGTCACACGAGTCCCTTGGTGTTGTACCAGGCACCCTGCCTTTAAGCTGGTGTGCTCTCTGATGGTCCCCTGAGATGGAGTCCGCCTCAGCGCCTACCTGATCTGCAGTAGAGATTGCAAATCAGTGTAGGAAACACAGGGTCTTGTCTTAGTCAAATGGTTGAAATAAGCCTTGTAGAGTTTTGTGTTTTGTCAAAGGGGAATGGATTTTGTATGGATTTTAAATCAACTTTCATTGAATTTGATGTCCCTAATCCTATACCTTTTGAAAACTCAACCCACCACCATTGTAGTTGTACTGTGAGCTTGGGCAGGTGGTTAGAGGGAGGACACACCAGCGTGCGCAGCGATGTCTGGCTTCCAGGAAGGGCTGGTGAGTGGGGCAGATGCTCCTTCAGCAGGACAAAGGGAATCTTGGTGGGCCGCCCCTCTAGTTGTACTGCCCATTTGCATCAGCACTTGTGTGCTGTCTCTCAACGTGTAGACTGAGCTTGGGCTGAGCGCAAGGGCTGCTCTTGACATGGCAGTCACAACAGTGAAAATCCAGAGTGAAAAGAGACTGCTCATGGATGTCAACGTTGGTAAAGAGACAGACAATAATCATACAGACATGAAGCCCGGCCAGTGTGTCTCAGTGGTTGAGCATTGACCTCTGAACCGGGAGATCACTGGATTGATTTCCTGGTCAGGGCACATGCCTGGGTTGTCGGCTCAATCCCCAGTAGGGGGCATGCAGGAAGCAGCCGATTGATGTTTCTCTCTCATCATTTATGTTTCTATTTCTCTCTCTCTCTCTCTCTCTCTCTCTCTCTCTCTCTCAATCTCTCTCTTCCTCTCTCCTAAATCAATAAAAAAAATATTTTAAAAAAAAACAGATATGTAAAATTTATAGCTTATTCAATGCTAACAAGTGATATGGGGCAACATAAATAAGGAAATAAAAGTGGGAGAGAGGGGTACATTTGAGAAAAGACCCAGAGGGAGTGAGGGAGATGATATTTAATGGAGAGAGTTTTAGGTAGAAGCAACAGCAATTATAAAAGTCTTGGGGCAGGAGAGTTCATAGAATGTTCCAGAAACATCAAGAGGCCAATGTGGTTTGGGAGCTAGAAAGAGCAAAGCGGGGACAGGGCCAAAATATGGTAAAATAAGAAGTAAGAGAAGTTATAGGCCAGACTATATAGTGCCTTGATGTTGGCTTCTGTTTTGAATGAGATGTTAAACCACTGTAGGGTTTTGAGCTAAAGAGACAATCATCTCACTTAGGATCACTCAGTGAAATATATATATAGATACAGGCATATAGACATCAATCTGTTTTCACCTCTATCTATTTATTTATGTATGTAGATAGATATAGATTGTATGTTAACCAGGTAAAAACAGCGAGACTGGTTAAAAAGCTATTGTCATAATCTAGAGAAGAGGTGATGGTGGTCTGAATAAGAGAAAGAGCAGAGCATGTGATGATAAGTGATTGGATTCTGGATACACATGAAGGTAGATCCAATAGAAGATGCTGAATTTAATGCAGTTATGAAAGAAAGAAGAGTTCGAGATGACTCCAAGGGTTGAGTGTGAGCAAAGAGAAGAATAGCATTGTCTTTAACGTAGATGGCAGCTCTCCCAGAGAATCGGTTTGGGGCTGGGGTTATTGATCAGGAACTTAGTTTGGGACATACTGAGTATGAGATTCATTTTCAACAACCAGATTGATATGTTAAATAATTGGACTTACCTGTCTTAAACTCATGGGAAAAACCTTGCTGGAGATGTACATGTGAAAGTGGTCAGTTGATAGATGAGATTCAAAGGCAAGAAACTGGATGAGAACAAGAAACTGAAGGTGAATAGAAAAGAGAAGAGGTCCAAAGACTAAGCTCAGGGGCACTTGAATGTTAAAAGTGAGCAGGATGGTAGGAACCAGCAAATGAGGCTGAGGGTGAATGGGCAGGAGAACACGTGGTCTGTTCTGGAAACCAAGGGAAGAAAGTGTTTGTGGGGAGGCACTGACTCAACTGTAGTAAATGTTTTTGGTATGTCGACGTATAATGAAGACTTAGAAATAGCTGTCGGGTCTAGCTTTGCGAGGCTATTGTCGAACTTGACAAGGACAGTTTTTGTTGACCGGTGAGACCACAAGCCTGAATGGAGTGGGCTCAAGAGAATGGGAGAACAGAAACTGGTGACCCCAAGTGTGGACAACTCTTTCAGGGATTTTTGAGGTAAAGGGAAGGAGTGAAATGGGAAAGTGGAGCCAAGAGAAACTTTTTTTTAATAGGAGAGGTAAATATTAAAATAATTGTATACCGATGGGAAAATCCAGTCGAGGAGGAGAATTTGATAACAAGGAGGGTATCCTATTGCCATGTGCTTGATGATATGATGAGCGGGAATAGAGTCTTTTAGATATGTTTTTATTGATTTTAGAGAGAGAGGAAGGGAGAGGGTTAGAGAGATAGAAACGTTTATCAGCTGCCTCCTGCACACTCCTACCGAGGATGGAGCCTGCAACCCTGGCACGTGCCCTGACCAGGAATCATAGGGGACGTTTTGGTTCATGGGTCAGTGCTCACCCATGGAGCCACACCGGCAGGAAGGAAATGGGACCTTTTAAACAGAGGAGGAGCTAGGCCTTATTTAGGTCTATGGAGAGGTTTTCTAAGGAAGCCGTCGGAAATGTCAGGGTGTTTGGCTAGAAATAAAGGTAAGTGAGTACATGTGGGAGAAGACTTGTAGAAGTTTGCTGCTTTTGCTCAGTGAAATAGGAAACATACTCATCAGTTGAGGGTGAGGATAGGGAAGACAGTTTTGTAGAGATTTCAGGAGAAGATATGAAATGTTTGTCTAGAGTCTGACACCATTATGGATACTCCTAAAGTTGCTAATCCTGAATTGAATGAGACCAGTCAGCATGGCTGTGCATTGTTCTCAGTCATGTTCATGACCGATCACTGAACAAGTCCAGAGTAGGCGCAGAGTTGGATTTGACTAGAGTTGGGATTTTGCCAGGCGTCAATGATTAAAAGAGTGAGGGGCGAGGGAGGTGAGGGTGCATGAAATAGAGTAGTTAAGATCAGTCTCCGTGGAATTGAAGCTGGTTGAGGGGGTGGGTGAAGACCCTGTGTGGGAGGGATGGTGTGAAAGGGGGAGGCATCTTTGGGGGGAAGGGTTCTGTGATTTGTTGTTACAGAGAAAATAGGTTAAAAGAATGGGTGATGTGAGAGTGGAGTGTATTCAGGTTTATCCAGTTGAGTTTGGGGTAACGTTGTGGAATACATGTCTGAAGTGAGAGGAAAGGTGGAGGCTGGGTGTCAGGCTGTCCTGAGGGGGGGTCAGGCAGTGTGTGCACTTGCTTTTCAGAGTGGCCTGGGTGAGGGGGCATCCGTAGCTGAAAGTCAGTAGCCCGCCATGGCCCCACCTTAGTGTCCTGGAACAGGGTCTAGTGCAGTGGTTCCAAAACTTATTTGGTCTACCGCCCCCTTTCCAGAAAAAATATTACTCAGCGCCCCCTGGAAATTAATTTTTTTAAAATTTTAATAGCAATTAAACAGAAAGATATATGTATTAATGTTTCTACCTTTTTCGTAAAATATAGTAAAGAAAGGTGTAAATTAGAAACATTGAAGTTTGAAATTATGAAACTATTTATTGAACTCAGAATAGAAAGGTAATACAAAAAAAGTTAAAACAAATGCACCTGTGGCCATCACCGCCCCCCCTGGATCGCTGCAGC